TGACTCTGAGGTTGATCCTAAAAATCAATGTCGATTATGCTTTTTTAGAGCGCGTACGTTTTGGCCCCTCATTCGAATCGGACTCCTTCTCGAATGTTTTGTCTATTTCCATTTGCTCTCGGATCCTTACTTTCAACAAGCGCGCCCCAGTGTATTCCGTATGGGGAAGGGAAAGGGAGGTGGGATGAAACTGACAGTATTTTTGTTCAGCTGCGACATGACAATGCATCTGCAACATTTTGTGACGTTTCTTTGGCATGGTTTTTCTTCCAGAGCTTTGCCGCTACATTCAAACCGTCTGAATTGGAATTTACTGCGGGCAGGTTCAGACAACTCGTCCAACACTCGTCTTCATCCATTGCTAAGGGCAGAGGGGGAGTCCCTGTTTAAATCCCTTTTCGTCGTTTGTTTTTGCTTTTTTCATTATCGGTCAGCTTTTCACCTAAAACTTCATTATCGCTGGTTTTTAGCCCGCGAATTCGAACTGGAATTCTTGCTTTAAGTGTTCTTCTGTAAATCGTTACCTATTCTTCCGTTGGCGTGTGCACAGGGCTTGAGACGTACTGGAAAAAACGTGACTGCGACACGCAAGTATGTGTGTCGAACTTGTCCCACGCATTCTTCAAGGATTTTTAATGAACAGAGCGTGGAATTCTTCACGTGAACTCGTTTTTGTTTGTAATCTGCTGTTTATGGCAGCACTTCGCCTTGCGAATGTTTCACAAGAATGCTGGGTTGTGAACAAAACTTTCGCTCCAGGCGGGACTAGAACTCGCACCTCTCGCTTTCCGGGCAAGTGCGCTACCAATTACGCTACCGGGGCACCATTTCATTCCAACTCAACTTTATGGTGTACTTACCATGGCTTGCCAGTACTCACACGTATAACGTGTTGAGACGGTTAACCGATATCGGCAATGATCGTGAGGCTGAAAGCTTTAGCAATGATTTTCGACGTGTTTATGGTAAGTATACGCGAATGCGTGCGCAGCCAAATTGATTGATTGATAATGGTATTTTTGAAATATTTTCATCGAATTCTTCTTTTGAACAGCCAGTCTTTGTCCAGATTTTCCTCATAGTGAAGCACAGACTAGTCTAGATTTGAAACAGGGTGGTCTGCATTGTGTTTCCAAGGTAAAAGTGACCATACCTCATTCTTGTTAGGAAACTTAAAGGGAGATTTTACGATGAAAAGGTAGCTTATCGGAAATAAAGGTCGAGATGGTCTAAGGAGTGGTTTAGGGGAAAAATTAGGTGAAGCAGCCCGGAATCCGAGAAATGAGACCCCTTGGTAGCTCATTGATTTCCGCATCGATGCAACTCTCATCGTGCCCTCTTCAATGCCAACGCTCTCTCCGCTATGTCGGTTGGCGTTCCGGCGGCATTTCCTTCGATGCGAATTTGTACTTTTAGGGGGTCCGTCTGTCTCTTCATCAGGTAAGTTTCCTATTCTTCGACCTTCATTTATCGTACAATTTTCTTTTGAAGGCAAAGTTCGGGTTCAGACCCACTTAATAAGCCTTTGTTGTGGCTAGAAGCTCTAGGTACATAGGTGCAGAAGTCGCGTTACTTCCCTACGTCGAAAAGCGTCACTCAGACACTAGGCGTTAAGAACTTTGGCAGACCCTACCAGTTAGTTTCACGCTCCTCCCACCGCTCGATATCTTGTCTGCGTCGCAATGTTGATCTGCTATGCTCTCTACACTTATACTTCCCTACCGCTCTCCGCGCTCACATTATCTCTCATCTCCCCGCCGGTCTTTTGAACTCCTCCACGGGGGAGACGGTCAATCCAATCATCTGCTAATGATAAGGTCGCGCGGCTCACACGGCGGGCAGCGTCGCGCGCGGCCAATGGTGCGGCGATTTTTATATGAGCCATAGCTTAACGGTCCTTGTCTATAAGTTGCTGGTGGGGTTAAAGAACTGGCAAGACCAATGTTCCAGACATCAATGAGCCAACAAGAGTCACCTTAAGATTTTCGCAGTTCATTTAGGCCTCACTGTACAGAGCTTCTGCCATGTAAAAGTTTCCCTTTTGAAGATAATGAGATTTCTTTATTAATCAACTGCCTGAATTGCTATCAGAGAGCGGTAATCTGGCATAATCCGGAAAAATATTACGTTCCAAGACGCAGTGGAACGGTGAAGGCAATAACATCAGTATGACGGAATAAGTTTGTAAATAATGGCAAAGAACAGGGATCCTATATTTTAAGAGGACAGGTGATCACATACCGTGTTTCACGAGTGGGAACTTTGTCTAATCCTGCATTCCCCAATGCTAGAACCCCGAATTCTAACCACGGCCGACGTCGCATCACGGGCTGCGGCGGCTGGCGCGGCGACCTAGCTATCGCCACGATTGAATAGTCGCGCACTCACTCCACAGCGTAGAGCAAAAGATCGTATTTCCTGTGCATCACACAATTTTTTCTTTTTCTTCACCGGCAGTTCACTTCACATCCTTTCTTGAGCATTTGAGTGGAATTACTGATCAATTTAATCCTGAACCTTGCCTTCAAGCTTGGAGTGCCCAAGAAGAGTAAAAATATGTGTAATTGTCGAGAAGTTAAGACTTGCATCAGTTTTTGTGTCATGGAATACGCATATCCTTCAAATTCAGTACATCAACGCAGACAAACGATCACAATTAGACCTTGAAGGCTCTGGCGTTGACAAAGAGAACGAGGAATTAAAAGTATGGGGTATGTGGTTCACCATGTGTTCTCAGAGCGTTAGTAGAACCTACTTGACGTGATTTTTGTCCTCAAGAAACATATGTACCGCTACTTTGAACAGAGAAAAGCGGTGTGGTACCGATATCTTGAGGACAAAAATCGCGATAAAATCTGAAATCATGACAGGGAACTATGGATAGTGGAGGGAGTAGGTTAATGTTCAAGTAGACGATAGATGTTTCCGTGGATGACGAGGAAATAAGGCGCGAAAGTACCGTTGATTGCTCTTCTGCTCATCGCACATGCAACACCTTATTCAGAGACCATTATCAGTGTTCACCTCTGGCCACTATGTATCTAGAAGTTTAGCGCTCTGGTCCAAAGGGGTGAAGTTATGAATTTCCTGCGTCAGACACACACACACACCGCTTAGCCGATTATATTCATATCACCTGGTTATCCACCTCGTCGTGTTGATCATCGAATTGTCGAGCGGGCGCAGCACGTCTCCATTCGTCCTGTCAGCGTGCAAGAGTTATACCAGTTGCGACCCTCCTGCTGAGGGAACGGTGTCCTTCTTCCTTTCGGTCTAGGACTTTTCGAGAGAAGGTCTGACCATCGGCGGCGGTCGTCATGGTGTTCGTATTGACGTCCCGAGGGCATCCAGTCGCTACCGCTCTGGTCCAACGGTCAATCGAAATCGTATGCACGTGTTCCGATCCACCTATCTTCAGATTCCCTTGGCGAAACGGAGTCCGTCCTGATCTTTCGATCGTTGGCGTAGTTGGCTCCGGATTCCCTCTCTGCACTTGCGCTGGTTGCGTGTACTCTTAGCGTGTCCTCTCCGACAGCCGGTTTGGATAAGCCTACTCGCATGCTTGTCCAGCCTGCGCAGAGTCCAAGTCTCTGAGCGTAGGTTTGGGAGGAAGGACAGCGAATGAAGGAGATGGGCGCGCGAGCCGGATGTTTCTTCGCTCTTCTTCCTACTCCCTCGATGTTCTATACGTCCAAGCCGCTCGTTTTCCTCGTGCCTCAGCTCCCATGGAAGTAGATCGTTCATCATCTTGATTCCCGGCCTAGGACACGTAGCTGGAGCATTTCGGATGATGTTCGTTCGATGAGGTGAATGGCATCAGGAACCACTCGGTTCTCATACATCCGTCTTCGTTAGGTTCAGCTGTAGACCGACTCTTACCACGCCAGCGCAGTCGAATTCGGCCAGCATTCGCTCTCGCATTGCTGCGATGGTCGGCGTTATAAGAACTATGATCGTCAGCAAACGAAGTGGTGTCAGTTGCCGGCCGCTCGACTTCACTCCCTTGTCTTCCCTATCAGGTTGAGCATGAGTTCTCGAGACTTGACAAGAGTTTGGGCCGAGATGGTGTCCCCTGTCGAACCCCTCTCTTGACTGATTGACCTCTCTGTAGAAGGTGAGATCTGGTGGGTCGAAAAGTTGCCTGTAGCAGCTCACGAAGAATCTTGAGTGTACTGAGTAGGGACGCCCTGTGCCAAGGCTTCGATGACCGCTTTGTCTCCACAGAGTCAAGTCAGCGCATTGAACGTGAGGCAAGGCGGCATCTTTGTACTCTCGTGATAACTTCAAGATCTTGTAAGCGTTGTGGTGATATGGTCGATGTGCTGACACTTCTTCGAAACCCTGATTGCTCGCGCCTGGCTGCCGTCATGCTTTAGATATTCTGACCATTCTGTTAAGACGACTCGAGTGAATAGCTTGTACATTACAGAACACAGGCAGATTGGGCGATAAGTTGCCAATGTCGTCCAGGTTCCTTCTTGTAGGCAGCAACACGGTCCTGCTGGTTTTCCACGGGGAGGTGGCGTACTCTTGCATTCCGACAGGTAGCAGTGAGGAGTCGAGCAGGATTTTTGACTGATGACTGGAGGCCGCCATTCTTCAAGATGTTCCGGTTTGACCTGTCTGAGACGGTGACTTACAATTCTTCACCGACTGTGATTGGCGTGTCGGACTTCGGAGAGAGTACTGAGAGACGACGTATCCATCCTGTTGCCAGTTGATAATGTGGACAGATGCATGGACTATCGAAGATCCGAGTGTAGTCTGTGGATGGACTTTCTCCATCGCCCTTCGGGATGCAATGACTGTTCATCGGACGTTCGGAGGCAGATCATCTTGGTCTTGTAGCTGGAAAGCCTTCGGGCGGCATTGCGGATGCTCCTCCAGCCGTCTGCTGCTTCAGCTAAATACTGCTGTCTTCGCCTCCTTGAGATCTTCCTTTATCGCCTCTCTGCTGCTTCGCAAGCTCGGACGTGCAGTTTGGTGATTCCTGAGCTCGTTGCGGCTCCACGTTGGCGCATTCAGCTCGAGAGTTTCCGTGGACGAACGTCCTTTGGTGACTTTGTAAACTCTCTGCTTCCTGCCACTCGTGAAGGTGTTCAACGAGCCGATGATATTCCCTCGTCGATGTTCTCGATAACGGAATCTTTCTCCACTAAGCTGACAGGAAAGCGCAATGGTCCATTTGTGGTTGTCTCGTGCTTCGGCTCCTGTTTGGAAATCCGCGACGTCCGGTCAGGCCAACTTCACCCTTGAAGATTGATGTGGTCTTCGCTGTTATGGAACTGTGCTATCAATGGTGACTCCAAGTCCAACGAAGGTGAGGGGGCTTTTGGAACTGTGAGTTGCGCAATGTAGCATTGGTGTTGGTCGCACATGATAAGAACTCCCGACAAGTCCTCACCCTGCTCATTCCATTCCATTCCGTGAGTGCCGATGTGAAGTTCTTCAACGTTCTTCTTGGCCAATCTTAGGCGTTGAAGTCGCGACCGATGACCATTGAAGACCGTATGATCTTCCTTGTAGAACTTCTGCCAATTCCATATAAATGCTTCGTGTTCTTCTCGTGGTAGCTGGAGTTTGGAGGCGTAGGTCGCGCAAAGATTGTCAAAGCAGGAGTTAAAACCACATTTCTCATCTCTCGAGCGTCCGATTGCTTGTAAGGTTTCGATACGAATGCGATGTTTATGTCAAAGTGCGTGATTCAGCGGACACCTACTACACCGCCAACGCTCTGCTGTCGCATGTTCAAGAACAGTTCTTCTCCAGTTATCGAACACGGCGTGTAGCCGGCGTTGCTTCTCGTCTCTCATCAGCCGATGGATCGTCGTAACTTGATCTTCCTAGCTGCCATCTGAGATCTTCGATGTGAGCTTCGGATGCAAGCCTTCCGTGCGTTGAAAGTACAGATAGCACATTCCCTTCTTCTGATTAGGCCAGGCTTTTCGAGGCCTGAGATTCTAGCAGCCTCTCCGAAGCGGTCCCTACCCAACGCGCGCGTATTAGGGGGCTCCTCAGGTTAGGGGAATGAGGCGCATCCTATTGCTGTTTTTCGGCATATTGAAGGCACACGATGTAAGCTTGGCCCAGCTCTGTGTGCGGGCTAAGGAAGGACCTGCCCGGTTAGTTGCATTCGCTATCTGGAGCGAGAAAAGGGGTTATTTCTTGGAGGCGGCCGATCGCTCCATGTACTTCCCAGTCACTTGAATTCAGTAGCTTTTGGCTGTTGCCGACAGCAAGGATAACCCTGAAGTCAGATGCAATCTTAGTCCTTACCTCGTTTAGGCAAGCATATCCCCGGGCTCTGAGACTTCTAGGCAGACTCTCCGAGCGGTGCCCTACCCAAACCTTGCCTGTATTGTGCACGTATCCGTGGAGCGAACAAAGGGTTATGTTCTTGGAGGCGGCCCCGAATCGCCTCCCATGTACTTCCCAGTCATTGAATGGCAAGCTTTTGGCTGTAGCGACATGTCAGGATACAACCGCACCACACAGAGCGCACACCCACGCAAGCGGTGCATGGATGCGCCTGAGTGATGACGCTTGCTATGAATCCAACACAGCGCTACAGATACAGGGAGTCATCCCCTGAATCACCTGCGTCTCAGGGCAAGTACATGGTGCTTTTGGTCGGTCCGCGATTTACCCATTGTTATATATTAGTAAATGATGTGACTCGGAATAGGAACCGTTCCATCATCGGCTTGGCTTTTCTTCTCCAACTAGTTCTTGCTGCACCGCCTCATCAACGCAGCAATACTGCATATCGATGTCATCATAGCACAATGCCAGCATCCTTTCTTTCTCTATTTTAAAGCGCTAAACCATGGTGCGTCTGGTATGTATGTTGTATGTATGTATGTATGATATGTATGTATGTATGTATGCCGTATGTATGTTATGTATGTATGATACGTATGTATGTATGTAGTATGTTATGTAATGTATGTTATGTATGCATCTGTATGTTTGTATGTATGTATGTATGTATGTATGTATGTCTGTATGTATGTATGTATGTATGTATGTTGATATGTATGTATGTATGTATTGCTATGTTAATGTATGTATGTATGATGATATGTATGTTGTATGATATAGATATGATATGTATGATATGTAATAGATAATAGTAATGATATGTATGTTATGATATGATATGTATGTATGATTATGCTATGTATGTATGTATGTTGTTATGATTATGTATGTTGTATGTATAGTATGTTGTATGTTATGTATGTATGTATGTATGTTATGTATGTATGTATGCTAATGTATTGTATGTATGTAATGTTCTGTTGATATGTATGTATGTAATGCTATGTATGTATGTATTGTATGTATGTATGTATGTATGGTATGTATGTTATGTATGTATGTATGTATGTATGTATATGTAATGTAATGTATGTTGTATGTAATGTATGTATGTTATGTTGTATGTTGTATGTTTGTATTATTATGTATGTAATGTGTGTATTATGTATGTATGATATGTTGTATGTATGTATGTATTATGTAATGTAATGTATGTAACACCCACCCCTCAAATCCTACATTCGAAGTCAGATTAAACGTGGCTAGGTTGACGTGGCCTTGCCCGACTTGAGAAAGACATGTGGATGGCTGTTCGTAACGTTCTCCATGGATATTCACGCCAGAGCATACTTATCCCGCGCACTTCCATCAAATGCGACGACGCCACGTAACTAGCCCGCTGACTTCGAGATATCCAGTATATGTATGTTTGTATGTCCGCAAAAGAAGTGAGTGATAAGGCAGCTGAATGGAATTGAATAAACAAGCCGCTAAGAAATCTGGGTAGCTCGGAGGGCTTGAGCTATCAATGTTTTGCAAGAGGATAATTTGATAACACTCCTACGGCTACATAAACACCTAATGAACACTTCCGGTCATTCCGCATAGTGCTGCAAGGGCACTTGGAGGGCAGTGGAGAAAGGGGAGGAAGGGAGGATTGGGATGGGAGGCGGAAAATTTACCGTCACGTTATGATTATGGCGATGAACTACATTATATGGAACTCCTTTTCTGTAGTATACGCGCCACCTACGCGACAGCGATAGACGTCAAGCTCACGCAAGAAAGGAAGGTTCCGACGGTTGACGGGGGACTAATCTGGTTATTTTATAAGCCGCTTACTCAAAGCCAAAGCAACAATCCAGGAACGAATTCGCTGGTAAAGACCACTTATAATGACGTTGCAGGTGAGAAGTTGGTCAATGGAGAAAGAAAAAGTAGGAAAAAACGTCGGGCAGGAGCTTAGACAGGGACTGATCCCCCTGTCGTTTAGCGATGGGGGAGACGTGTAACGAACGAGTTGTCCGAACCTGCCTGCAGTACATGCGCTCCAATTGCAACTGCTGGCAAATAGCCATGCATGCTTGCAAATACATGGCTAGTTGCCACCATTCGTAATTGAAGCGCGTCGGTTGCGTTCTTCAGAGGTGAGTTTTAAAGTTAGTGACATTTCCTACAAACTTCTATTGAGCTGGGGCATGCTTTCACCACTTGAAAAAGAAGTGGTTGAAACCCTGCCTGGACTGTTGCTTTAATGTGTCAGTTTGTATGTCTGTATGTATGTATATCTGTATGGCCGTCCACGAAGTCAAGTGAGTGGTAAGGCAGCTAATTGAATAAACAACTCTTAACAGAATCGGGTAGCTCGCAGAACTTGAGCTATTAATGTTTTGTAATAGGATTATTGTGACAGCACCCCTACGGCTTTATAAACACCCGCTGAGCATCCGGTCATTCCACATGCTGCAGTAGCAGCTGGAGGGTAGTGGAGGGAGGGGGAGGATGGGGCGGAAAACTAATCACTGACAGACCCATGGTGCTGTTAGGTATTTGATCTTATTTTCCCGCCATGTCATTTCTATGGCGGTGCCCGCTACACAGTGCGTACCATAAGTATAGACGCACCCCCAAACTTACCATAGCTGGACTCCACAGAAGTTCTTGACAAGCAGGCCTATTCCCACATAAACCGCCATGCCCGAAAACCTAGATTTTGCAGTTTTTCTTCGAAGTGGGAGAATTCCAGCTTTCTTCAAAAGGTTTGTATTTTTTCGGCTGTACCAAAAGTATAGACGCACTCTACATGCGTGGGTCAAAAAGGAGACTACACTCAGGGAAGTGGCCGTTTAAAGAATCCTATAAGTAGCAATGAAATACCTGTACAATATCATAAAATGCTACGAGGTCCGCGTTTGTCGGAAGCCGAGCAAGCGTAGATTTGCGCCCTGCATACAGTTGGCCTGAGCAATCGTCAAATCGCTCAACAATTGCGACGTCCTTCGCCATCTTCGTCCTGTTCCGCGACTTACCAAGTCCCACAAGGCTCCAATTTGCAAAAGGTAACATGACAACAAATTGGTCGAAGGTATGCATCTTCTCTATAAAGCTTACGAAGCCGAGATTTCCTGTTCAGGTGATATTTTCTGACAAGAAAAAGTTCAATTAGGATGGTCCGGATTGAAATACGTTCTACTGGAGGGATCTCCGCAAGGAACCGAAATTCTTCAGCCGACGTAATTTCGGTGGCGGGGGCGTCATGGTTTGGGGAGGATTCCATGAGAACTTGAAGCCGGAGCTCGCCTTCACCTCCACTCATATGAACTCGGCGGACTACCAGGAGGCGCTACGCTGTCATCTGCTGCCTTTTCTGGCACGTCAGGAAGGAGGAGAATTCATTTTCCAACAAGACAACGCGGCGATTCATGCGAGCAGGTCCACAAAATCATGGTTATAGGAGAGAAATATAGTCACAATGGACTGGCCTGCTTGCTCTCCTGATCTTAACCCCATAGAAAACCTATGGGGCCTTCTAGTCAGAGATATTTACCGTCAGGGAAAGACTTTTGATAGCGTAGCAGACATCAGAACTGCGATTAATCACTCGTGGAATTGATTGGATGAACAGTTGCTGTATGTATGGATTTGTTGAACCAATCCGAAATAGAATTTTTGAAGTCATTTCTGAACATGGAGGAACAATTGATTGTTATATGTTGGTTTTCCTGGTAAATACATTCGATTGAGGTGCGTCTATACTTTTGATACAGGCAAAATAATGCCCACCTGTTGAAATAGCCCGAATTCTTCCACGTAAATTCACGTAAAAGTTGCTGAACATAGGTTTCTGGCATAGTGATTTATATGAGGATAGGTATGTCTGACGAGAACTTCTGCGGAGTCCGGCTATGGTAATTTTGGGGGTGCGTCTATGCTTATGGTACGCACTGTATATGAACTCCATCTTGTTGCATACGCTTCATCTCCACGAGATTATGGTGTCACAGGTGAAAGGAACCACAGCGTAAGACGTGAATCCTACACAAAGAAGGAGGATTGCGTTGACGGGGGACCAATCCGGTTCAGTTTGAAGGAGGATTCCACGATAAAGGGAAGGTCAAAGAAGGGAAATATTGCTTGGTTGGGAGACAGGCGAAACTCCTGAGGGCGCGGACTGAGACGCAATTGGCAACGGAAGATTTGACCTTGGCTAGGCACAGTTGGCGCGGTACGCACACTAACTATCTAATCACCCACCGAAGGTCTATACGCGGCGAGTGATTAGACAGCAGAGGGGGCGTTAACGTAAGGGGCACAACAATGAAGTCGCATCAGTGCGGAGATCAGCAAGCAGGGAAGGTTGCATTGCTCGGGTTCTGGGACCCGTTNTTCATGGTTTTTCCACTTTCTACCGCTCACTACCCCTAACTTAGTTACAGTGGGTTGTTGTTGTTTTCCATCGTAGATTCTGTCTTTAATCTGAGGACGATCCTCTAGACAGAGCCGTAGCACTTCGTCCTCTATCGAAGTCTTTAATCGCAAAAAAAAACTGTGTTTCCTGAGTTCTGACCGTTTTTCCCTTGTTTTCTTCATTAAAGCACGAGTCAGGCTCAGTGAGCAAACCATACTTTTTAGTCGTCTATGTGATGGCTACGCATCCGCACAGGACTTGCCATTCTCAGAAACTCAAAGGCGCGCGTAATAACGCCGCCAGGGCAATGCCAGTTAAGCGCTTCGCTGCCGCCTGGAGCGCTGCCGTGCCGCCACCATTGGGAGTGGTGCGTGGCTGCCTACACGTGTGAGATCAGCTGAGTTGAATTGCGTATCAACGGCGATGGAACGGGCTGGCATATCCCAGAAAACTCCGTTTGGACGTGACTCTCCCCCGGAGCAAATCTTCCTTCACTGCTAAGAAGGAATGGGTTCTATTATAGGTGTTGTCGACAGTTTTTTTTTTTTGGCGTTTTTCTTCACTATGTTCCACCTCCCATCTCTATACTCCAATATCAGGTGCCATAATGCCGTGAAACACGAGCCTGCCTTTTGCCTTCACGCAATAAACGCCAACCATTGAACCTACCCTTCGTATTTTCCGCTACCCGGTCCCGTATTAGGCTAACAACAACTCCCTTCTTTGATAGTCACATGCTTCACGGATGATATAAACTAATGTAAAGATTAAATACGCAGAGACCCATACTTGAGTTCAGCTTCAAACTTTTCTCATTTCATCGAGTTTAAATCATTTGATTAAAGATTCCATATAACTAAGGTATTCCAGTTAGAGGCTGTGGAAGCTGATACTGTTCAGTAGTATACTGGTATTAACTTTCCTACAGAATGTTTCTAATGGTAAGTAGACTTAACCAAATGTGGTACATTCTGAAGATCAGAAAGCCAGAAAGTCAGAAAGAAATTGCGGCGATAGATGATCTGTCCAAACTCCCCAAGGATGAGGAAGAGGGAACAAGGATATTGGTGATGTCGCCATCCGTGTTGTCGAGGTATGCCTGGTTTTAGAAAATTTCTAGATGTATAAGGTTGTTATGATTACTTGAGCCTTGTTAAGATTAGCAACAATCAATACCCTATATTTTTCATTCAAATCTCACTCATGTAAGCTTTCTCTGCTCTTCGCGTAACTGATCAGTGGCGAACACCACGGACCACATAATCAACATATCGACGGAAAAGAACTTTCTAACGAGTATTATGAGATTCTGGTAACGAACAACGAGCGACAAAGAGAACTTCAATAGTGTTCGAAGTCCTGAGGTGGGGGGGTTAATCTAGCCGTGGCGAGGGTATCCGCGGCGTGCGCCACGTCCTCGACTTGGTTGTCCTGTCGCCAGATACGAGGATGATTGGATGGGCCATCCATGGATATACGTACTGGAATCGCCATCGGAAGCATCTGGGTGAAATACATCTGTTGCGTTGTCCTGAATATGAGAACCCAGAGGTATTCTCTGGAGGTCCTGTTAGCTTCATCTTTCCCCTTTTTTCTTAAAATACTCGCGCACCGCGTGATTCTCCAACTGCGTTGATGAGTGGTATGTCCACCCCGACTTCACGTATACGCGAAGAACCTGGAAGTATTCTTGATAACGTCCTTTTAATAAGCTTCCGCACATGAACTTCTTGGTGCGCTCCTGGCTTGAGGCTCGCTCGCAAATTGGAATAAGACTGCACAGCACTGCTTCGATAAAACGCGGTAGTTTCGCCGAGTTCATGGCATCAATTGAGATCGATCCTTTTGTTATGTACGCTTTGTCTCCACGTGGCGGAGCGAACTGCTACTATTTTCATTCCCATGTCGGGCTGCCGTCGGCAAGAATGAAGCTAACCGGCACCCAATCTTTCTTGCAATAGGTCATCCGTTGTGGGGACAAATGAGCAGACAAGTTTCTGGCTGTCGAACCTTTCTAGAAATACGCTGATTCGCTGAGGCGACTGTATAACTAACGTTCAATCATCGCGTTGTTCTCGGAAAACACTGCGAATTGCACGGAACTATCTAGAGAATATACCAGCAACTTTTGTGGCTCTCTCCTGGCCCAAATTCGTCCCCAGTCGTTTGTTTTGGCGAATCTTCACCGCTTTGTTCGTCGCATCATTGAGCTGTCTCATGGGTAACCCTGGTCGCCCTCAATGAGGAAAGAGACACAAGAAGGATCCATCATGGAGATCCAATGATCGAAATACAGATCACAGAATCCTACTTACTAGAAGCGCTGTCTATCGTCTGTCTGTCGTCTGCGTGTCGTCTGTCTGTCGTTCTGTATGTCACGAAAACCTAGCTCCTGGATCTGCCTGAGAGACGCGGGTCAAGTGTGGAATGGGGGCAAGTCTCGCGAAGTAGCAAAACACTCATCAGCCAAGCGAATCCCGCCCACAGAGGGCGTGCGTGGGCGTCGAAATGAAACTGTAACGCTGCCCGCGCAAGAATTTCGATTTCAGTGACAAAAACAACCTCGAAACTGGGCCAAAACGTTGGGTAATGGTGTCACTGGTAAAGTCACATCGAATTAGGGAAGACGCCAAACCCCCGTACGTTCGTAGTGGCGTTTGGGCGGAAGTGGTGTAGTGACAAGTGGCGCGCTCGACCACCGGCGAGCGTCCCCGGGATCAATCCTGGTCGTGAGTCGCCGCAGGCCAACAGCTTGCCATCCCTCCGGGTCGGTTAAATTGGTAACCAGACGTTGTCTGGGAAGGATGAAAAACACTGACTTGAATCAGTCGGCTGCCCACGCGCAAGTCCAATTGGATAAGCCACATCGCATTCAAAATGCGCTGTACGCTGGCGAATGTAACAATTGGAAAGTAGAATGCGTGCTGCATCCCAAAAAGGGGATTGATCAATCGGCAAATGCTTTATCCTTTTATCCATTTTATCCACCCCGCGTGGCGCGGGGCGTCTCTAAGAGAGCAGTGCTTCATGAAAATTTTCATACTCGGTTGGAGGAACCAGAGCAGAAAACAAATTGGTCAAGAGCGAATGGAGGTGCTCCAGCATAATGAACATTGGCGGAAGACCCGCCGCACAAAGGTGCGTGTTGAAGCAGGGTGAAAATTTGTCCGAGTACGTGTCCGCAGAAAGTACGCGCCCCCGCCGAAATCGACGATCCTTGCACGACCCCCTGTAAACAGAGCAAATTAATTTCAATAATCATAAAGATAAAATCAGTCTAGCCAAAATAACATCAAAAAAAAATCCTGAAAAATTATGTTATGGACGCCCCTTACTTGTCAGTGCACCTGTCTTTCATCGCTGCACACTTTTGTGTATTTACTGAAATATCGGATTCGAGGAAGAGGCTTAAAACTTGTTTGATCCTCAAGTCAGTTCTGTATGAGAAGTGCACAGAAATCTGAGCACAGGGTTGCGATTTAATTCTTAATTCCTGCTGAGTATATCGCGAAAGCGAGTGTATCAATCAACTTCCGATGAAACGGCAGCTGACGGCGCGATGTCACTATGGTCAGATTTGCGGAAATCCGAAAAAACCGTCAAATCTACACCCTGCGATGAGAGGTTGCAATTCCTTCTTTTAATAACCTTTGAAGCAGTTTGGACAGGTGAGGTTAGATGAGCTGGATTGCGCGTTTCCGCAAGAAGTATTTTTGAAAGTGTTCTGAAAGCCTTCCATGCAAAAGATAGGGTCTTTCAAAATTGTCGTTCCGATAAACGCTGGGGATTGCTGAAATTTTCATGTTAGTTTTTGCCACTGTCAAAAGCAATATCTCTATGTCCGTAAGGTCCTGAAAAAAGGAGAGGCATTTGGAAACGAAGGTTGCGCTTCCGATGATGTTTTGTGGTTTTCTTCTACGCATTTGCTCAGTTGGTGGATGTTCTTGCGTCGAGGATCTATAAAGGGATGATGCTCTCCCGCTCAAAAGCCGGCTCACCATTCTTCGTGTAGTAATTGTGTAAATGTGAGGCAACGCTTGAGAATGGTCCATAGAAAACATCCTTGCCCAACATAAGCAATAAGAAAAAAGGGCAACGTCATCATTTGAATTTTGTACTTGAGATAGGCCATGCATCACGACCTCACCTCGTTGCGGAATCGATTCGATAGGTATTCATATAAATCATGAGCCAAGTTATGGCAAAGCTTGCATTGTAGATATAACGCATTTCGTAACTTTTAAAACCTAAAAACAACTTCATTTGCCCAGGATTTTCCTTCACGTGTTGTCGTTTTTTGGCGACTGGGTTGCCCAACAACGAGTGTCATTCTCAGGTGAGGTAGCCAAGGAAGAAGGAGCGAGCGATATGCAGAGGAGGTGGCCTTTGACGCGCGTGCGCACATGTGGTGGCAGTCTTCTTTGCGGCTGGACGACTTTCATTTTTGTAGCTGCTTTCGGATACGCCCTTCTTCATGAAGGATTGAGGAGAATGAGTGACTGAAACCTGCAAAGGAAATTCAATTGTTTTTTTTTTTTCAGATACTTTCGTTTTCTGCTTGTCGCTATACTACACTAGCGCCCTCGATAACCACTACCCGGCCGATCCTACGTTACTGACCGCCCAAAGTACTACCCTCCCATGCTCAGCGCCGTCTGGTACGACCCCCCCTGTCAAGGATATTCCTTCGACCGATATTCACCCTGCTCTGACGTGTACAGCGTTTTTCTACAAGTCTCACAATTCGGGCAAGGAGTCTTAGTGAGGCCGGAAAAGTGCAGAAGTAGTGTGAAGGAGTGGGAGATTAACCGTCACCGGGGGCGGGGCATTGCAAAGGTGGGAGGGGTTTTGGCGGGCGAAATTCATAACTCGGTTCCAAGAAGTCCCGGTAACCGGGAAAATGGTGGGTAGAGGGGGGTGGAGGAGTGGAGGCCAACCGTTATCGGTGGGCCGGGCAAGTCCAAAATGGGCGGAGTTATCCAACAAAACTCATAACTCGGTCCCAAAAAGCTCCGGGAACCGGGAAAAGGGTGGGTAGAGGGGGGTGGAGGAGTGGAAGCCAACTGTCATCGGTGGGCGGGGCAAGTCCAAAATGAGCGGAGTTATCCAACAGAATTCATAACTCGGTCCCAAAAAGTTCCGGGAACCGGGAAAAGGTGGGTAGAGGGTCGAGGAGTGGAAGCCAACCGTCATCGGTGGGCCGGACTTGACCAAAGTGGGCGGAGTTTGCCAAAAAGGGTCGCAGTTCGGTTCCAGGTACTCCTAGAGATAGGGGAAAACGCGGTTAGAGGTTGGCGAAGGGAAGGGGGCCAAATGCTATTGGTGGGCGGGGCACGCACCGCAGTGGGCGAAGTTTGCCACGAGGTTTATTGTCCAGAAGCAGTCCGAAGACCTGAAAAAGAGGATAATGGTTGACGAAGAAAAAGAGGTTGAAAGCCGTCGATGACGGAGTGGCTAGAATTTAGCTGAGAAGTCAGATATTCGTGGTGTATCAGGCCAAATTTGAAAATTTTCGCCGCAAATCTGTATTGTGCGCGCAGTGCGTGCGGCGCCAACTGGTTTCTTATAAAAGAGATAAGCTTTGTGAGCACCAGTAATCGTGATAAGAGGATGCTTATTATCTAACATCAGAAATCTTTCGTTTTGCTCATTCCTCTCATATTCATGAATTGAAATCAATCTCGCAAGACTAAAAATAGAATCAAATCGAATATTTCCGATTGCCTATGTCGCGGTTGGTACGACGTCCTTGAAACGCTTTGGTTGCACGGTGCATGAATACGAGTATCCACTGCCATCCTGAGCGTACTTCCCTGGCACCGAAAGAAAAGTCCAAGTGCACGTGTATCATCTCCATTAGCAGTTGCTCTGCAAACAATTTTGCTTACTTTTGCATGTCGCCGTTTAACTCTTTGTTGCTGTTTTTCTTGGTAGACTTTCGAGCTCAAGAGGAAGCGACTTCAACTCATGCGGGTGCTGCTTCCCATAATCAGCTTGGCTGCCTGCCACTATCTATTCTGTAGCGGAATTTCTTATTATAGGAGGAGTATCACGAGACTCATTTTCCAGTAGCTGGCTGGAAGTACCTCATGGGCTGTTGACCGACCTTCGAGTCGATCGCCGATTTTTCGGAACTGATTCGAAATCCTAATTTTTTCTAAAACTTGTACTTTAGGGAATATCTAATGCTTTGATCACGAATATGACATTTGTTTTTCCAGACGACTCCAATTTATGCCACTTCGGCACCATTTGACGCCTTTCTGATGTTACAACTTTTTTCCGCCATGATCCAGTTACCATCTGAGTTAAATGATCATTGGTGGATTTGATAATGGATTTGATACCTAATTTTTGCACTGGTGCTATTTTGAGAAAATTTGGAAGCTGCAACCACAATGCAAACATTTTGTCATCACGGAGGATTGATCCTCGGACCATTTCCTTTCCACTTTTTGGCGTTCTCAGAGCCGTTCAGCGAAAATAGACCTTGGTTCTGTAGTCTGCGCATGAGTTCCTATAATATGCAAAAAACCGTTTTGAAAAAGCGCGGCTTGCCCGCTTGAACGACATCCCTTGTAAGAGACCACAGACTATCAGAGAAATGCAGTGATCAATAGAGACAATTACATCAATAATTGACTTTCCAACAGAATGTTTCTAATGGTAAGTAGACTTAACCAAAATGTGTACATTTTTAAGATCAGAAAGTCAGAAAATCAGAAAGAAATTGCGGCGATAGATGATCTGTCCAAACTCCCCAAGGATGAGGAAGAGGGGAACAAGGATATTGTTGATGCCGCCATCCGTGTTGTCGAGGTATGCTGGTTTTGAAAAATTTCTAGATGTAAAGGTTGTTAGATTACTTTGAGCCTTGTTAAGGTTAGCAACAATCATACCCTAATTTTTCGTTCCATCTCGCAACTCATGTACCTTCTCTGGTCTTCCGTAACTGATTAGCGGCTAACACCACGACCAATCCAACCTCAGACTTCCTTTGAATGTACCTAGTTCTACCGTTTTGGTGAATCCACCCTTCGAAACGGTGACGTCATCCGATCTGTGTACTTCTCGCGGCGGTGATAAGCTTATCACCGTCTTCATCACCTTATCATTGTCTAAACCTTGCAATTGCCGCAGTTCAAAAAATCGAATTTGTTTAGGCGACTGCGTAATTCAATGTGTATATAGGGTGTTCCAGAAATATTGCAACACAGTTTTTGCCGTGAACTTCTCTCGAAACGGTCTTGATCTAAATGGCTACACAATTTATTTATTGGAACGTTAACCCATCACAATCAATGACATTCAGTCGATATGATCGGCTCTCGCGATGATTATGGCTGTCAGTCACTTTGAATACGTCTGGCCCGCAATGGTCTCCTTGGATATTTTCTTCTAAGCTCTGCAAATAGAACAGATGAGCTCTTTCACGAAGATACATTCTTCAGGGAAGGCCTCTCTTCTAATATAACCTAATGGGAATGCTCTAGCAGGTTGAGATTGAGTAACAAACTAGACATTTGCTAATGACATGGGGAGGAAGGGCACGAAAACCGCTCTATACAGCTTTCGCCCATCTTGCACAGGGCCATCCTATTGAAAAGCCCATCATTTTTCCGCGAATTAGCTAGTGCCATTGGCAACAGGTTTGTGTCTGGAGCATCTGTCAGCAAAATATCTGCGTCGAGTTTTATCCATTTCTCACTGGTAGCTGGAAGAAAACAAACTGAAATCAAGACCCCTCTTTAGACTATGACAAGGATTGAGTCAAATCAAAAAGAATCCCTCCTATTCTATCGCGCCCCTCAGGGCTTCGAGTGGGGACCATCGAAGTTTGACGCCTGAAGTTTTTTTCTCAAGGTAAAGGTTTTCTCGTTCATGGACACGGTTACCAGGTGGACGCCCTGCTCGGCTTTTGCAGAGACAGATGCACTATTGAACCACTCTGCAGATGATAATTCTGGAAGCTTCCAGCTTTGCCATAATCTCATGGGTATACGGGAAGTGTGTTTTACTTATTTCTTCTGAGTTACGAAGTAGTCTAAGTCGCAGAACGGCCGCAGCAAGGGAAACCTTTCACTGTTGCTCTGTTGAGTGTACTTTGTTTGAAAATATTCTAGTTCGCTTAGAGAGAAATGGCACTTAGACGCATCATTGGAAACCTAGCGAGAAACCGTAATAATTGACATTGTCATTCAGAAAATGAGAGTAGCGATGTTTTGAAAAATCGATTCACTCCAGCAGAATGGTGGGCAAAGTTGGTTGCAGTATTAATGGGGCACCCTGTACATAGTCACGTAGTGTGTGTATAGAGCGCTAACCTAGCATCTCTTTTTCATAGCTCTGGTTCTTTCAGCTACTGACCTTAGTTTACACCTGGTCTGTGAGTGTGTTGTCACTCGTATACTGAGAAGAAATTCTTTTAAAATGCACTTAGAGATAATGCTTTCCAATAACAACCCATCTACGCTTCGCTACGCACAGGATCCAATTGCTTTTCCAAAAGAACTCCAAGGGAGCTTCAATCTTACCATTCCGAGCAGATTAAGAAGACAACAGTAATAGCTTTTTCAGGTACTTAAGAAGAATAAATATCGTGCCAAGGTATCCAAGAAAAACCGACTTGCGTTCCCGAAGATGAAATTTTATCGTTGTCTCCGTCGAATGACAAGACTCCGCGTGGCTGATGCTGCTTCTGTGTTCATGGCTGCAATTGTGAGATATTTGGTGGAAGAGGTTGTTTGTTTTCAATCTGTGAAAGGTAGAGGGCTGTGCAATATTTCAAAAGAGATGGTTCAAAGGGAACTACGATATAGTGGGTGCGCACCGTGAAGGTTATATACCACTAGAAGCAGTAAGCTTGCGGAAGAGGAAGCGAATAAAGGCGTTTTTGCGGCAAACAGCGAGCTGCTTGCAGCTCACCAGGAAAAGTCATTAGGCCAACCCGGACAAATGAAATGAGGTGCACATTTCTGTACGCAGAATGAGATGCTGAGCTCAAATCTGCTGAACCCTTCTCTCAAATGAGTTACGGAGGGTTTTTGTTGCCGCCCTTGATTTTTACTGTTTTGCCTGCAGTCACATGTTACCTCCATTATAGAAGTCTCGAAGGAAGAACTGAACAGCCGAGGGGTGAGCTTCGGTAGCGCAGTTGTTAGCGGTCTCGCTTCTCAAGCGAGGGGTTGAGGGTTCGGTTCCAGCTGGAGTTTGACGTTTTGCTTTTTGTCAACATAGCTAATAAACCTTTTCGAATCCGTTATATTATCAGTGGTTGCCCCACGCTACAAATACAGAGAGTTAGCACGCAAATTCTCTCAAGCTGGAGTGCTCCTTGTCTGTTAGTGCAGATGGTGCCCGTAGTGGAGGTACCAGGCTTTCCCTTGACAAGTAGGTGCGATATTCGTATCCAGAGGGTCAAAATACCCTTGGAGACGAGTTTTCCGCCGATCCTGAAGTCACGAAGTAATTGAGAAAAAGCGGAGCAGTGATGCAATTACCACTCTTCAAACTCCACTTTTGGGTTAACAGTCATGTACGACGGGAGAAAGGGAAGAGAAGGTGTTGTATTAAGAAATGATGGTTTGTACATCTTTGCAAGATGCACACGGTCAAGCCAGACACAATTTTTGTCTGTTCTGAAAAATTTATAGAAGGTTTATTCTACCCAAGTGCCAGCCTTTTATAATGGATAGGTGGATGGGTGAGTAAGTGACTCCAAAATTTTCGAGGTCAGGTCAAAATTTCGGAATTGGCTAGAAGTTTGCTCAAAGGGAGAGTCTGGCTCTCTGATTACGAATATCACATTTGCTTAGAGCAAAAATGCCTGACACGTGCGCTACAAGCGTCTTAACTAGTGAGGAGCGATGCCGTCCAAGTTCGTTATTAATTGCCCTTAACTTCTTTATACGGTTAGCTACACGCAAGCATGTTCAATTACCGATGTTGGGGATATTCCTAGCTAGCTTACCGCAAACGGTAAAAGAATAAGCTCGCCAAGGAGTCGATCCCCTGACCTCTTTTTCGTGAGCCTCGACCACTGCCTCTGCGCTTTCCTGCTTCATAATTCCTTTCAGAGAAGAGTTCAGCAGATAAGGAACGCATATTTGAGCTCAGCGTCCCAAGGCGCGTATAGACAAATGCATCTCATTTGAATTGGCCGGATTGACCAAATGACCTTTCCTGGTCAGTAAGGCCCCATGCCTGAAAACTGACGCCCGAAAGCCGCCCCGCCCACCAGCATTTTTTAGTAGAACCTTTTATTCTTTCATTCAAAATAGCACTTCACCTCAAAGCAACACTTCAGCAGTCATGTCGAAATATTTATCCAGTGAATGGGGTACATATCACTGATTTACCGTTGGCGCTGTTCAAAAGTGCGCGACATTGGTGCAAGCTCCCTTACAAAGGGCGGCTAACGTGAACTTACGGATGAGATACTTCGCGCTCGCCCTCACGCGATGTGGATTAGGGTGAGCAGGTATGTAGCTGATAAGTAGGTAGATACGGTACCCTGATCACATTTATGCGATTGCCTTCAAAAAAGTCGTCGTTGTCCTTTCCACGCCATCACTATCAATCGCTGTTCCCCCACCAATCTGAACTGGAGTTGTCGCTTCAAATTGTCTGGGTAATAGGAAAAAACCAAGGGATACGGCACAAAATCCGCGAAATGGAACCCTTATCGGCCCGTACTTTCCGCGCTGGACGAGAAACAACTATTGCTGACGTCATTAAAGGCAATGTTTCTTTCTACATAAACCCGTCACTAAGACCGTAGGCGCCGTGAACTTGCAACAGACTCCACCAAACATAACATGGTCCGCCCACCGATCGATGTCTTGTCTCGTTGCTGCTTGATCTGCTATGCTCCTCTTCTCGATTCTCGACCCCCCTGCATCGCATCAATTATTTCCCATCTCCCTCCTGTCTTTTGAACTTCCACAATTGGCAAAAATGCTCAATACTGTGCATCTCAAGGATCTTCTTTCTTTTTTTCTCCATCGGCGGTCACTCTCAATCCTACTTTCACATTTGATTGTAATCAATCCATCAATGTAATCTTGATTCTTGCCTTCAGAGAAAGCGACTGGAGCAGGCCGGTCACAGATAAACTACAACGAAGGAAGCATTGAGTTGTTAGACTTGTCGCTGTAAAGACGCTAGTAGTGCGCTGGACCACGGAGAGGCAAATCTCGTTTTCTGAGGGATATTGGGCCTAGCATTCCTGTCACAATTGCTTTCCGAGGAGGAGAGAGGAGGAAGAGGATCTTGTGGTGTAATTGGTTTCGTGTAATATCGGCAAATATCATAGGAGATGCACAAGTGTCGAATGAACAGTTTCTTGTGCGAATAGAGAACAGGGTGAAACGGTTGTCGAAATATAAAATAAATAATAGGAAAAGCATTCAGCGTTGATCATGTCCTTTTTTGGGTGGCGGCATCGCATTCTACCGTCCATTTGTACATAAGTAGATGGCGTTTGAATGCGATTTGGCCTATACATGACTTGCTCAGAGGCCGGCCGATTGCACTCCTACTATAACTATAATGCGCTATGTATGTCTGTCACGTCTGTCACGAATTCGGTATCAACGAGCCCAAACTACAGGGTCAGGTCAAGTTGGGATTGGTATATAACCATTCCCTAGAATAAAAAACACACATCAGCCATGGAGCCCCGCCACTATGGGCGGGCGTGCATCGTTGATTAGCAATACAGTAAAACACCTCGAGACTGGAAGAAAAGTGGTTATAAATTGCGTCGGTAGGCAGCTGCATTGGGAACCCACCCTCGGTGGCGGTGGCGTTTTCTGGAAAAGCGGTGCTCAATAAAAATATAATTAACTAGGTTAGTAGAAGCCTACAGAGGCAGAAAAAGAAATTAGTGCAGCAGGCGATGCGTAAGTATTTCAAGCACGACATGATGTGAACGGAGGTCGCGCCCGACAATGGCGTGACGTGTCCTGAGTAGACGATACGTTTTTCTTACAAGAGCTCATAACCGGCTCTGAGATGAATTGGAACCTGAAACAGTGATACAGTTAGGAGAAAGCAAGCTTAATTGTCATTGCTGTGGCGTAGCTTACACACATGGCGGAGGTTTTGCAACCAGCACTCTATAACTCGGTTCTATTGAGTCCTCGGTGTTGGGGAAACGCGTATAATGCGTTGGCAGAGGAAGGGTCAAGTGTGTGGGATAGGTGGATCAGGGCAGAAAGTGAGCGGATTGACAGGTACTTCATAATCGGATCCAATAGTTCCGGAGATGAAAATATAGAATGAAGTTTGGGAAGAAGATGATGGTCATTTGGTAATTCGGTGAGCGAGGCATGTAACGAAGGGGCGGGGGTTCCAGCAACGATACGTTGCTCGATTTCGTCCCTACAGACGCTCATAGATTCGGCTCCGAGATGACTTAAAGGCTGAAAAAAAATACGCGCAGTAGGTGAAAGAAGGAGTAGAGTTTGGATGTGAACGCTGGCCGTGGCACCCCGGATGTGGCGGAGTCCTGCAACCGCTCTCTAACATTCGGTTCCTAGAAGTTTCTCGGCCCGGGAACCCGGCGGGGAAAATTGCATAAGTTTGGGAGGTAAGGTGGAGTATGGTTACTTGCCATTGTTGGGCTAAGCATGGCATCAAAGTGGCGGGGTCTGCCTTCAGAATTCGTGATCTAAGGCCATTTAAAGACCCTCATAATTCTGCTCCGAGATGACTTAGAGACCTGAAAATGTGTATAGTAGTGAGAGGTGGGAGTAAGAGCTTGAAGTGGACGCTGGGCGTGGCACTTAGCGAAGTGGGCGGAGTTTGCACCCTCTCGTAATCGTTCATAGGAGCCGCGCCACGCTCCTGGAAAAAGTGGATAAAGGTTTGCCGTAGGGACAGGGGTAAATGCTATCGTGAATCCTGAGTGTGCACAAAGTGGGCGGGGTGTGCCAGAAATTAATTACTCATAACGTCTTCTACAAGTTCATAATTCGGACCGAAACGATAAGGATCTAAAACAAATATGTTGTAGAGTGAGGAGGATAGTAGAGCTTGAACGCTGGGCGCGCACTCCGTCGAATGAGAGGGAGTTTGGCCCGTACTCTCATAACTCGGTTTCGAAAAGCGGGCTAGAACGGACCGGGGAGAGGTGTATAGTTAGGGTTGCCGGGGGAAAGGGTTGCATGGGTGGGGCTAAGCTTGCAGCAAAATGGCGGAGTTATGCACGAACCATTATTAGATAACTGCGGGTTGCAGAAGTCTGACACCAGGGAAGGAAGATAGAGTAGCGAAAAGAGAATGAAGTCTCAGAGCAAAAGGCAAGACATGCGCAAAGTGGGGGGTTACCCATCCGAATTTCGAAAGAGGAATGTCTCCAAAGCAGCCGTAGCCTTGGAATCCTTCTACAAGCTCTCACTAATTGAGAGGAGAAGATTGGCTACAGACATTATCTTTCAGGTTTACCACCTCCGAACCAAACCTGTATTAGAGAAAACGCTTTGCGAAACGCCTTAATAGTTGACTAATAGAGTAATATGTTTTGACTAATATTTCGTGTAAATGTGATGTACGAAAGAAAAAAAATCTGAGAAAAGAACAATGACCATCTGTTTGAGACTCCCGATCACGCGCCTGCGTGCGCCAGGAGCCAAATGATTAAAATAAATTGTTGATTTTGTATTGAAAGATAATTGATTCATGCCGATTTGTAAACAAAAGTGTTTTTGGATCTCCTATTGTTTATGTACCTTTGC